CCTCTCTCTCTGTCTCTCCCTCTCTCTCTGTCTCTCCCTCTCTCTCTATCTCTCTCTCTCTATCTATCTATCTCTCTCTGCCCCTCTCTCTCTCTCTGCCCCTCTATCTCTTTCTCTCTCTCTATCTACTCTCTCTCTCTGTCTCTCTGTCTCTCTCTCTCTCTCTCTCCCTCAAGAAAGGTAAATTCGCGTTGGAGACAGCCCAGAGAAGGTTCACTCGGCTGATCCTGGGTATGGAAGGACTGTCTGACGAGGAGAGGTTGAGTCAGTTGGGCCTGTACTCATTGGGAGTTTAGAAGGATGAAACGTACAAGATTCTTAGGGGTTTGACAGGGGAGATGTGGACAGATTGTTTCCCCTTGTGAGACAGTCTAGGACCAGAGGGACATCATCTCAGAGTAAGGGGTCGCTCACTGAAGACAGAGATGAGGAGGAATGTCTTCTCTCCGAGAATCTGCGGAATTCTTTACCGCAGAGGGGGCTGTCGAGGCTGAGTCTTTGGGTACATTTGGGGCTGAGGGAGACAGATTTTTAATCGGGAAGGGGATTTAAGGGTTATTGTGAAAATGAAAGTGGAGTTGAACTGCCATAATCTCATTGACCGGATATTTCTGTCTGTCTCTCTCTCTCTAGATCTCTCTTTGTCTAGGTGTCTCTCTCTCTCTCTCTGTGTCTCTCTATTTCTCTCTCTCTCTCTCTCTGTCTCTCTCTCTCTATCTTTCTCTCTCTGTCTCTCTCTCTCTCTATGCCTCTCTGTCTCTATCCCTCTCTCTGTCTCTCTCTGTCTCTTGCGCTCTCTGTGTCTCTCTCTCTCTGTCTCTCTCTCTCTCTCTATCTTTCTCTCTCTGTCTCTCTCCCTCTCTCTGTCTCTCCCTGTGTGCTCTCCCTCCCTGTCTGAGACAGACGGGATGACGAATGGAGTGTGTGCTCTGACAGGCCTTAGAGGAAAGGCCCAGGTGCCATGGTGAACCCCAGTCAGCCATCTTGATGGCTGGGTAAGGCCGGTGCCTCTCTCTCTCTCAGATCGTACTTCCTCTTCTGTGTTGTGTTCAGCTGAACCTTTAGCCACAGGTTCCACGCAATCAGGGCGGCTGATATTGATGACAGGATGTGGTGAGGGTGAACTGGAAAGCTGATTAAAAAAACTGCTCTTTGAAACAGCTCAGCTCCTCTCCTGAATGTCATCGCCCACAGGCTCGATGGGGGCTTCATATTGTGACCAGGCCTTGGGCAGGCCGGCTCGGTTTCCCCCCAAAGCCCCTCCTAACACCCTACCCCTGATGGTATCAAGCTCAAGGAGGGGCAGACCAGGCCAACTCCATTTCCTGCCTCGAGGGACCAGGTGACAGGGAGCAGACCCCCTTCCTCCCGGAGCAAGGCCCAGGGAGAACATCAGACGAGGCCTTGACTCCCATAATCTACAGCACACTGGCCCAAGCAGCAGACCTAGGCATCTGTTCCCCTGATAACAGGCCCATTTCCCCGTCACTACAATAATGTTGCAATGGATTGGGGCTACATAGGCCGAGTATCCATGGTAACAGGCCCGAGGAGGGCATTAAAGGGTACGACTGTCCCCACACTTACAGGCCCATTGGGTGGGGGGGTGATTCAGGCCTACTCTACTGGAGAAAGGCCTCAGGCCTGTTCCTATCATAGTTGTCACGGGCCCTGGGGGGGGTGGAATTTCAGGCCATGCGGTGTTCCCATGGTAAAGGAACCGATGGTGGTTTGGGACCAGCTGTGATGCTGTGGTGGTACTTACTCTCCAGTGAACTGCGAACCCCCGATGAACCCGTATTTGTCCGTTTGGCGGTAGGGCGGGACTCCATTGATCTCAGAGTCGGAGCCGATGGAGCTGCCGTCGTCTGCGTTGAGGTCCAGCCTCGTGTTCAAGGTGTCGGTCAGCTCCTCCATCGCACTGTTCAGGCTCTCCGTGTCCTGGAGGCTTCGCTTGGACTGGGAGGCCCAAGCCATGGCCTCATATCCTGAGGTCAAAGTTCAGGCACGCCACTGGGAGCAAAGAGAGGCAGAGGGGAAGGTGAGATAGAAAACTACAATGTAGATCAGCCCTATTCTACCTGAGATATAGAGAAGGGGCTGAATGGCCTCCTCCTGCCCCCTGTGTAACAGGCTGGGGACGGGGCTGAATGGCCTCCTGCCGT